CCCCCCCCCTGACTTTAAAGCTGGATCCGCCCCTGTATCTAAGCTAGAAGCTAAATAATGGACAGTAGAAGAAGACAGTGCAAGAATGACCAAATCTCAAAAATCTTATAGTTTTGCACTCGATTAAAAAAATAACCGCGCAGTGGAAAGAAACCAAACTCACACCTGTTCTTAATTGAAGCTTGTGTGGTCAATTGATCTTCTCGTCGATTGGAATACCAAGCGTGAATGTTGAGGAATAAGCAAAAACAGACGACAGTGCAAAAAAGGCCAAAAGTACTGAAACTAACAAAGGTTTTGCAAATGATAAAAAAACAAATCGCAACGCCTAAGGGAACTAAACTCGCACCTGGTCATACTGTGAGCTTCTGGATTCGACTGTTGAAGACCACATTCGGATATGAAATCTCGACGTTGAGAAATCAACAATAAACGAAGACCGTGCAAGAATGGCCGATCCTCGCAAATCTTACAGAAGTTTCTCAATTGACAGAAAATAAACTACTTGGCCGAATGGAATCGGGCTCAGAACTGGTGCAAACTCAAGGTTGCTTCATCAACTTCTGAAGCCTATATTTGAATATCTAATCTTCATGTTGAGGAATGAACAGTGAAAGAAGACATTGCAAGAATGACCAAATTTCGCCAATCTTACGAAGGTTCCGCAATTGATAAAAAAACTTACCATCCAGCCAAAAGGAACCAAACTCACACCCATTCTTAACCGAAGCTTCTGTTGCCAACTACCATTCTCTGCATCCGAATATCTGTCATGATTTTTGAGAAATGAGTAAAAACGGAAGACAGTGCAAGAAGGTCCAAAAATCGTGAAACTAACGCAGATTCCACAATTGATTCAAAACAAACCGCAAATCGTAAGAAAACTAAAGTCGCTTTTAGCCTGAAAAACTCAAGTTTCATTGCTCGAATTTTCAATTTAATCATCCATAATAATAAATTATAAATAGTTTTATTTATGTATTCAATATAAAGATCGTAAAACGTTATTTGCAGTTTAGCGCGATTAAATGCCAGCTTAAAGCAATGGAATAAATATTAAATTCCTTGATACAAGTAACACAACGGAAAAATAATAATGAACACTAACAGAGTAGACCTTTAGAGCATTAGATAAAGTTGCATAAACTAAACCAAAAAAGATCTATCACTCTCGTTTGGACCTCCAGGAACTAATGAAACTTTCACTAGTTTAACTGTACACCATACAAATTTTTTTAAACGAACCCAGTAAAGAATGAATTGAACGATTAATATTAAGTTGATAAGTATCGGCCTCAGGTCGAAGACTAGAAGCCCGGAAATTAAATTGTTTGAATCCGGAAGTGGTGCTTAAATACATTAAAATCCATACAACCAAAGGATGTTTACAGGACTTCCAACAGAGAAACAGATTACTATGCAGGTAAATTGCCATAATTATTCAAGCGATTAAGTATCTGCAAAGTAAAAGGCATAATCGAGCAAAATGCAAGTTTAGCGATCATATAACAATATTCTCCTAATTACAAATCCTACGTAAGCTCGATTGTTGCATATAAACTGGAACAAACAAAGATAAATTATCTTACATAATCATACCATCAGAGTATGGAAAGGTAAAGCTCTGTGAACGTGAATTTATATTGACAAAGTTTAGTCCTGCATCGCATAACTTCGATTAAGCCCATAATTATGGCAAAGTTCTAAAGATTCAATAAACAGATGGTATAATGAATATTTTAATGATCATTTGGGGATAATTGAATTAAACTTGTCAACCAGTAATATGCGGTATTAGAGGCGTTTTGTTCCATTTATTCGCATTTTCTGGGTAATTAATCAAAAACCTTCCATCACGTTGATTCAACTGTGTAACCAACAATAAACTGATTAATTGTAGAAGTTTTGTGTAACATTGAAAAGGTTACAAATATTCAATTCCTGCCTTTCCTAGTCAAACTTCGAGCAGGAAAGTGCAACTGGGGTCTGAGGGTAATAAGGACTATTAAGTAAACAGCTCTATTTGCTGAATTCAGCTGTCTGTATTATTGGGATGTATCTGCCTCAAATACACACCTCTTGACCTCACTGCAGTGAGAGGATATTCTGGATAGCAAAGAAGGAAATTGTGGCAATTTCCATTAAAAATTCATTGCAATTGAATGAATCTTTTAATATTGAGGAATTAGAATACAGATTTAGCATTTAGTTATAAAATAAACTTACGTTTGCCTTCGACGCCTTCAAATGTGATGAACAAACTACTCAATAGCACTAAAGTGAACACCAGTATTGCTTTAAATATTGCCATATTCAACTGTGAACAAACTCCAATTTCCCAGACTCAGAAAACCGACTAATTTCAAATTTTTCTCAAATAATTGCAACTGAGCGAGCGTTAGCGCTGAGCAGAAACTCCAATGGATAGTTCCAAGGGTCAGAAGCTGGGATCTTGGAAATCGGAGATGGAATGGACGCATGGAGAGATATCGGGAGTTTATAAATTATGTTGCGGGGGCTTGCGTGGTGACATTTTTTGATTGAATATTAAGTGTTGATGAAACGGCTGAATGCAGGCGAATGGGAACTTTTGAGCACAAGTGCTGCAGCATGAGAGACGTACTAAACTCAATAAAACTGGTAAAAAACTTTTTAAATTTTGCCATGTTTATATGCGAAATTAAGAGCATTGTTCGACAGTATCTCCTTATGGAGGAATGGTTGAAACAAAGAGAGGATTTGTGATTTGAATGCATTGGAATTGTCGGGCTTCCCAATTAATTCGCGTAGAAAGGTTTCAAATTCATAAGCCAATGAACAGTGCGGGAAATTAAATCGGTTTTAAATTAAATAATTCGCAAATTTCCCAGAGCGATTGAAATTTTTTAATATTTTTTTCGTTGCAAAACCTGAGGTTTTTCAGGGGATGAAACGGTTTAATTTCTTCAACCGTGTTTGCCGAAAATTCAGGATTTTTAAATTCATTTCATATTTGTTTAAAGCTCTAAAGTTTATTTTTTTACTTAACACGGACCCAATTTTTGCAAGAAGTTCCTCTTTATCTGCTTCTTGAGCGGAAAACTATGTATTTTCGATAGCATTCACGTTTTTTTAAGCAAATTTCTCGGACTTTTTCGGAACACGAAACATTCCGCAAGTTCCATGTGTCCAATGAGCGTAAATAATACGGAAAACTAGTTGCACAGTTTTCTTTTATTATTGTTGCTTATTCTGATTTGCTCTGAAATCTGGTTTTATTTCTTTTATTTTAGATTGATTATTTGAAACAAGTTTAGCTTTGTAATAAGCACAATGGCTCACACTCTCTTGTTTAAGAGCAAACAGATTTGGGCAAAAATCGAAAATTTGCTATCGCGATTAAATTGTAAATATTTTCCAGCAATATTAATGGGATTTTTCGTTTCAAAAACATGCTTTGTTGGTATCAGTATCAGTGAAAAACATTTAAACGAGCTTTTCTTAAAAATTAATATTTTCTCTAATGTACAGTGGAGCTCTTTTCTCTATTCAAAACCAGTGGCTTTGGCTCCTCCAAAGATGTACGGAAGTTGCGACATCATTTTGAACACTCAAATTGAACAAAGTCATATTTACAAATTGTACAAATAATTTGGACTAAAATATCTAAAAACTCTGTTTACTAGCAAGTAAAATGTGGACTTAAATTCATAAAGCTCAAGTAGGGGATGAACATTATTGTAAATTGGCAAAGATTATCTCAAAGGCAAACTTGGCCGCTAGAGAGCGAAGATTTGTTAAATTTATTACATGGATCCTTATCCTGAATGAAAACTTCACAGTCTACCATCAAGAGAAAAAACAACATTCAAGTTTCTACTATGAGTCTTCTGGAATTTTCAGCCGAAAACCGGCGAAAAGGATCAAATTTTCTTCCTTAGTTTAATCCGCTTTAAAACATGCAATTGATAAAAATTTGTACATTTCAGTGCAAAACCAACAGTGAGGATTAGGAGAAATCGCCGGCAAAATTTGAATTTACTTTCTCCATTCAGCGCTTAACAAATTAGAAATGTTGTTGATTTTGCGCATTATTAAAGCAGAAAAGGGTTGATTTAGTAGGTAGACGTTTAACAAAATCATAGAAAAGCAGACTTGTACTGTTAAAGTGTAGATTGCAAATTTTCATATTCAAAACTAAGAAAAAATTATTTCGTTAGCAACAAACTTAAATACTTGCTCTTAACTAAGTTCTTTAGTGGCTTGTTAAATCGGTGATATATTATGAAAAACAAACTCCTAATAAGAAGCACGCTCAATCAGCTAAAAAAGCAACCAAATAGCTGACTCTTGCTAAACTTTCTATTAGATTGGGGCGGTTTTCTGGCGAAATTTTCACCTATTCATGTCGAATTTTCCTACTGGAACTTACTTGGGCGCTAATATATATTTTGGAGTTAAACAGTGATTGTGCTGAGTTGGGAACATTCAATGTTTAACTGAGTGAAATATAGTAAAATTGTTATTATGTTAACATGTTCTTGCTATGGAGCGTTGTCAGCAGCAGTGGCAAATTCCCTTATTCAAATTGAGGAAAAAAATACACAATTCCGAACATATACAATGCATCCATTTAGGAAAAATAAATTACCAATGTCGGCTCAGCCCGTACAGGCATAATGCGACTGAAAGGAATTTAAATTTGAAAGGCCATATACAAAGCAACCGGGGCTTAAGTAATTTAGAGGCAAATAGATGTAATTTGAATTGGGGGTGTTATTTTTTCAATGCAAACAGCCCAGAACTTCTTTTGTATCCTTTAAAAGCATGTGTAACTTATCGGCGTTTTTATTGGACTGTTTCTACAGTGAAAAAATGAAGAAACTACTTACTCTTCGCTTCTATGTGGTTGATGATGAAAGCCGCAATTACCACTGAAATTAAGCTGATAGCTGGATGAGCCATTTTTCTCAAATTTCGAATTGTTCTGTTCTGAAATGATCTGCAAAAGTGACTACATAAAGCGTATGAGGCTTTTATATGTACGCGTGTAGGCAATTAATAAGGCACTTGAGAGACTTATTTGCCTGCGATAAAATTGCGACTAATAATTATTTCTTGCCTGTTTCTCTGCTGGAACAAAGTGAAAAAAACACATTGAAAACATCATCAACTCCAATATAAAACTTCCATAACTTTTGGGGCTTTTATGGTCGATTTATTGGGTTAATCAAGACATAAAAGTTTAAAACTTTGTGACAGTAATGTATGCGTCTCGTTCCCGCAGCTCTTTTTGTCCATTTGATTTAAAATATTTACATTTCTGAAAATAAATCTTAGGTAAATTTATCCTTTCAAGGAAAATTGTAGTTTACAGGTGTTTCGAAAGAATTTCGCGAAAAGGATTTCGCAGTCATTGCATGAAACCAAAAAAACTGGAAAAATGCATTATTTTTTGCGAATTGTATTGAATATAACTGGTTTATGAATATTGGTCATATCAGTTTCGCTATTTATTAAAATGGCTCTTTGAATAAAGAATCCATGCAAAAAGCGACGTATTTTTCCGAGCAGGTTCACTTACAAAATAATAGTACATGTCCGAGTGCGGAGATCTACATTTGGATTTAAATGTAAAGCCAATTTTATATGAATAAGTCTGATTTTTCGAGTTGATCGCTTATAAAAGCCTGCATGCGATTGCAGGCAAAATCAATTTAATTATTTTTCGGAACATTCAGTTGCCGGGAGGATTACGGCTAACTTTTGCGGACGTTTGTTAAAAATGTCCAAAAGCGTTTCTTTTAAYTCAGTCCGTAATTSCTCAGTAACTATTCAGCTTGTTTAAAGGAAAATTAATGGTAGTTTTCTTAGGAAGCCACAGTCCAAAAAAAGTAGGTTTTTCAATCAAAAATTATGTAAAGTAGCCGTCTAAGCTGCTAGCAATTTTCCTCTTCAATTGAGATGAAAAAAATAACAATAAAAACACTATTATTATCTCCCTGGTTCAAGTGGCTTGCTGCCGAAAAGATCCTCAAAGCTAATTTTGAACTACACTAATTCGCCCCTCTGTTTGATTTACCGTTATAATACAGGCAATTGGTTAATTGTTCAAACAATAAATGAGAACGTAAACCTCGCCGATAACTTTCATAATGAACGTTTTGAAGTGTTTGTGCCAGACCCAAATGGAGTTTATTGCATAATTTAGAATTTTCAAGGGAACTGCACGAACCCTCCAAACTAAACCAAGGCAGGACCAGGAATCGGAAAGCCTAAATATAAACAAATCCAAGTCAATGTTATCAATTCTTTCATTTTGGAACACAGTTTTTACTATCTAATTCAGCCATTTTTTCTCTATGCTTCTTCAGATCCTCCTCATCGCTAAAGTATTCCTCTAAATTATCCTGCGGTTTCAATGGAAGTATTTTCTTAAATGCCTGCTTCTTTTGTTGGATATTGTCCTTAGTTATCGTGGAATATACTGTCAAGGCCTAAAATCGAAGTTTTGATAAAACGATTCTACTATTGGCTGGAAAAAATCCTTGCCTGAGTAACCATGCTGGAAATATCGTTGGCATTGGCTGGCAATATCAGTGTGTTGTTTGTTCTGGCTAAGTTCTCAAAAGCGCCCACATACTGCTCAGCTATTGTTAAGGCGGCAGCATTCGATCCCTGCTCGTTCAGCAGAGCGTCGGCCACCACCTGATTCAGCAACAGTTGGTAAAGAACTTTACTCGGCCAGATCTTTACTTACTTGTATGCCTTTGGCTCGGGCTTCGGCTACTGCTCTAATCGCCGCCGCCTCACCACTAGCCTTATTAATTTGCTCCTGCTTCTCAGCTTCAGACGCCAAAATCCTTGCTTGCCTTTTACCTTCTGCCACGTTAATGTCTGCTGCTCGGACTCCTTCAGATTCCAACACTGCAGCCCGCTTCTTCCGCTCGGCTTCAACCTGAGTAGTTTAAATTCTAGCTTCTTTTCCTTGGATAAAATTTACTCCCTTTACTCACCTGCATTTGCATCGCCTCCTGAACCCTTTGCGGCAGTTTGATATCACGGATTTCATACCTAAGGCATGTCATTCCCCAAGCTTCGCTAGCCTTGTTAATTGATTCCACCATCGATACATTTAAGCTCTCCCTTTCCCTGAATACTTTGTCTAGTGAAATTTTGCCCAGCTCTGATCTCATGGTGGTCTAAAATCAACTAATGAGTAAAAAAGCCGATGAAGCACAGTTGAGTTGAGTGCCTGAGCCAGTTGAGTTATTGCAAACTCTGGATCCTCCACCCCATAACTAGTTAGGTATGGATCGACGATTCGCAAGTATAAAACGCCATCAATACTCAAAGTTACATTGTCAGACGTAATGGCACTTTGTTTAGGAATATCTACGGCTATTTCCTTGAGACTCTGCACGTATTTTACTCTATCAGCTATAGGAATTAGGATGTTCAGGCCAGGCTCCAGAATCCTGTGAAATTTGCCCATTCGCTCCACAATCCAGGCCTAAAATATTCGGGGGCTTAGTTCCCAAGCTGGACACCTAAAGAAGCACTTACCTCCTGCTGCGGCACAAACATGACCACAGTATTAATCGGTGTGTAGGATTTATGCTTAAGGGCCGCTTGTTTCCAGGCATTGTTCAGCGGCTTTATCTGTAATTGCGTTTATTTTAGCCTTGAAGGAACACTGTAAAGCGGTTAGGTGGTACCTGGAGCACTGTCCTAGCAAGGCTTCGAGAGAACATATTTCTAGAACCAAGGAGTAATGCAGGATTTATAGTTTCTTTGCACAAAATTGTGATAGGACATAAACCTCACTTATTATGTTAGGAAATTTTGAGGTTGACATGTTGACATGAGATGCGATGTGCAGCAGTGATGCGAGATAGGAGATTTAAATCTGCGTGACGTAATTGACGCTGTGATAAATGTTATAAAAGTATAAGTTATACAAAAATTATTAAGATTTGAGAAAGAATTGCTTCAGCTGATACAGCAATGAATAATTCTCATATTTAGTGGAGCCTTTTCATTTTAAAGAAAAGTTTTATTTTCCGAGTTTGAGTAAAACTTGATTTGGATGACAGTCAGTGACAACTTTTGTCTGAGGTGAAAGTAACTTTTTCAAAAATCGAAAATTATCTTAATTGGCTTGAATTGAGAGAGAATAATAATAATCAGCGCCTTAACTTGAACATTCCTTCATAGAAGAAATAGCGAATTTGAATCAAATATTTCAATTTTCTGTTTGAACTTAAACATTATCACTTGCCAAATTTAAGCCCAATTTTCATGATTTTATCTACAAAAGCTCCATTATTTCTATAAATATACTTGTTATTAAACCGGTAAATGTGACTAACCGGAACTTCGCCCAAAAAGTTTGATCAATACGTTAATCAACCAAACTAGATAAAATGCTACTGTTAAATAATATTCCAGAATTAAATAAACTTCAGCAGCTAGAATGCACTTTAGAGAAAAGTATCGAAAGTTTCATATCAACTTGCAGTAAAACCATGCCGGAGTTTGAGAGTGACCTTTCCGGAATTTACCAAGCAACTCAAGACTCATGGTAAGTATACTTAACGTATACGTAAGTGTTACTAATAACTAAAATTAATTACCAGCGGTGATTAGTTTAAAGGTAATAGCAATAGCTAGACTACAGTTTATGTGATTAGTCTACAGTTGATGTCATAATAATCCTGCTGGAGAAGATGGTGGATGCTCTGAGATTTTTCTTTTATTAACTGCCTACTTATTCATTATTAATTAATTATCCCAAGCAAGCCCTAAACATTCATCTAGTAATATTCAGCTATAAGAAAAAATCACTCTCCAGCCTTACTCTCTTTAATACAGTCAAATAGTCTGCTTGCACAAATGTTTCAGTAACCAGGAAATCAGCCGTGTAAGCCAAAATATCCAGACAATTGCCAAATCCTTGAAATCAAAAGCGGATTTATTAAAGGATAAGAAAATGAGCGAAATTAATGGTAATAGCACACTATAGAAAACATCTACTATTGCATTTCACAGTAAAACAATTGTAGACTTTGAAAAATTCAAAGCGGAAATGGTGCTTATTCAAGAAAACATTATGAACTTGAAGCGAACATCCAAACTGGAGCTGAACAGGCTGAAACAGTTGGAAATTGAAATGGCTGATGAGTTGGAATCCTACTACAATGTAAAGCTTCCTGAATGGAGTGAACGTTTCCATATTTCCAATCTAGATTTAATCCCGGCTCGAATAAAGAACAAACAGTGGTCAGGGCAACCCAACAAGGTAAACGGCGTAATCCTCTAAATATGTCGTCAGCTCCATATTTTCTAGGACGTGAAAGAGTACTTCGATTTTGTGCATCAAAGTGGCGGCCACGAAAATGGCTGGCGGAAGGAAGACCACCTTTTATTCCTAAAGTTAAGAAAAAAGTTCACTAAACTGGCAGACTTAGCTGCGAACTTGCATGAAATATTGCCAGGTAAAACGCAAACTGAATGCAGAATACTACCAAAGGCCTTAACACAAAATTTGTAGACATTTCGTTGGAAGAAATAACGCAACACAATGACTGGTACACAAAATACCTGCAATTGCAGTCCAAGAAAAAGAAAGCGATCCACAAGTGGAAACTCAATAAAACCAGTAGCAAAATAACGGAAAACCATGAAAGTCCTACAATCACTCCGCTCATGAAAGAAGATGCGTCGGCGTTTAGGGAGAAACTGATGCAATGGAAGGTTACCAAACTCTCAATTTTGTGGAACGCTTAATTAATAAAAAAAAACACCATTAAAGCGCAGCTATATTCAACTAGACCATAACAGTGGGTTTGTATTTTTTATGCAATTTTCGTTTACAGGCAGAGAAAGAAGAGAAAATGCTAATCGATCAGGAGCTGGAAAAACTGAAACTCCAGGAAATCATTGAGAGGGAAAGAGCGAAAAAGCACAGACATATCGAAATGAAAAAACTGGTCAATGAATGGCGAGAATCAAAAATGATATTCGAGCAATCGCAAAAGCAGCAACAGAGAATCTTGGAGGAACTGGAAAAAAAGAAGAGGTACACTTTGGCTTCAGATTGCAACTATTTCAGACATTTACATGTTTTTTCTAGAGGCGCCAATGCAAATAAACTGATAAAGCAATTCCAGTCAATGGACGAGCTTCATATAATGAAGATGCGGCAAATTCACAAAAAAATCACCAATGATCCGAAAAAACGAGTCCAGTCTGGCCCGTCGGTTTCCAGAGATCCAAACCGTGTAGCGCAGCCAACAATCCAATGGGCGCAAAGAGTTCGAGCTGCTAAAGAACCGTTCAAAGGGCCTTTGCCGATTTTCGACATGCCCAAACTGTAAGTGTTTGCAAACCTTTAAGAAGCTTGAACTTTTTAAATTTGCAATTTCAGCGCTATTCCGGAATGGAGGAAAACCATTACGTAAATCTACCTGGGGCTCAAAGGGCTATAAATGTACAATTTAAACTATACAGTCATTAACCAACTGTGGTGTTTATTGAGATTGTATCAAAAAATATATTTAGGTATCCTAGCTTTTTTTAATATACTTTACACTTTAAATTTCTAAACTAAAATTAACACAATTTAAATGGTAACTAGCTTGCTGAAAGCTATAAGTCAGTTGGCTTTAGATGCAAAATGGAAGTTCAAAAATGTTGCGAGCTTATTACAGGTTTCATCATTTAAAATAATTCGGAAAGAGAATTTATCTTTTCTAGAAAACTTCACAAAAACTTTGGTAGTAGTTAAAAATACTTCGAATTTGGCCTACTAGCTTAAAATGTCTCTAGTTCGAGTTTTCACTTACATATACCCTGTATTTGGAAATAATCTAAACTATCTAAGACCCTACAAAGTACATTATTGCACATTTTAAAAAATGCCAGTCACTTGTTTAATCAAGCCATTCGGGTTTTTCAGTCTTTTGCATATGAACCCGCTGTAAATTATCAAAGGGTTACCGAATATAGCTGGATAGGAATAACGGTTTAAATCATCAAAATCTACGCGCATAAGTTGCGGGAATACCGTGGAAGACAACAGTTAAACCGTCGAAAAATTTATGAACTTGCCAGTCGGTGGTTTATCAAACATTTATCCGAAGACGCCAAAGGGCCGCCATCAAATTGCCGCAAATGGATCTATAATAGAAGTACAGTGAAATTTCAATGATTTGCCCCTTTAGGGGCACTTACCAACAAATGCAAATTGACCTCAGCGCTGCGACTTAAAAAGGGAAAATGCCCGCCGTTCTTCAAATGAGCTAATTTAGCTTGAGGGTAGCATTTGTACAGCTGCTCCTTAACCGGAAAGGTCAATGGGGAGCCTTCGAAAACGTCTATAATGGTAACGGCCAGGTCTATTAACTTGTGAGCCTCCACATATCCATTGGCGCAGTTTAGAGTTAGGCGACTTGCCAGTTCACTTTGAGTTAGACTGTCCAGCTATAGAAAGACTAGTAGGAAAGTAGCATGTTAAATTCATAGTAAATTACCCTTTCCACCATAAAGTCTGTGGTGTGAACCACGTCAGGGTCCGTGGCTGGTGGAGGCTGAAAGTTGGATAGAAGCATCTTTTTCAAAACTAGGGCTGGCAGCATCCAGTAAATTGAAGCGGTTTCGTTCGCTTTGAACACTGTGGTGTCAGAGAAGCTGTTGCAAAGTATCAGTGAAGCCACCCTTGGCCGAAGGGATGTGCCTTCCGCAAATTTCTGTGCCAAATAGCCACCTAACGAAGCCCCAAATATATGGACCTTTGAAAGAGAGAGGTAGTCCAAAAGCTTTCTAAAACCATCACACCTAAAACCTCCTTAAAATCACAATGGACTGAATGTTTTGGCCAAGTCGTACCATTCATTTGCCGTCCAATAAGGTGGGGCTTCTGCGGATATCACTCGAATGCCCCGGGCAGACAAAGCTAGGGCTTGTCTGAAGAAAATATCGGCTGTCCCCGAAACAGGCGAAAGACAAATTAGCGGATTTTGCACCGTTTTTGGCCCGCAATCGTAGATGCGCCATTCCTAGATAAAGTCCCATTTTATACGGAAAACTGGTGGATCCTCGGGGATTCACTCACCTGTTCAGGATCATTACTGACGGAAATGCGCCTCAAAGGCACATTGCTACGAAAGCTCAAGTATTCAGCTGATTGAGACCACTCACTCACAGTACTCATTTTAATTAATTTCTTCGGTTTTAAATTAGAACAAACTTACGTGCAAACCATGTGCAAGCAAAGCAAAACACAAATCGTCTGTGCACAAATCATAGATAAAGACCATAGAATAAGATTTTTTTCTGGCTTATTGATAAAGACCATAAATAAAGACCGGTGATAAAGACTGATGATGTTCTGTGATCTGTGCCATAGATAAAGACGAGTGCACAGATCACAGAGGTTATTTTGGAACAGATATCGATATGGAACAGTGAACCTGACCGATATTTAAAATAACATGTGATTTGAAATAACAGGGCTCGCCTACGATGCTGTATACTTTATAAGTGGTATAAATTTTAGTTCCAAATATGCATAACTTTTTGTTCATTCCTATTTGTTATGTAAAACGGGCACTTGCCAGTTTCTAAATACATTTTTCTTGAGACGTCGGAGAGACTTCTCTGAGGCTGTATTTTACTCGTAAAGATTTATCCTACAACGTACAGTAAATGAAAATTTCATTACTGATTGACCAAAAAAAGTTATGGTACCATTTTCGTGAAACAAATCTAAATTAATTATTGAAAATTAACAAAACGCTGAAATCGACGGCTTTTTTTTATTTTTGAGTAAACTAATGAACGGATTTTAATGTAGTTTATCTGATATCATAGGTATTTTTAATACTTCAAAAAAACGATAATTTTTTTTTCAATAGCATCAACGGTTCAACAATTATACACAAAAAACGGGCTTTCGCACTGTCTTTAATTATTTATAAATAATTGTTTATAAACAATGTTCCACAGCCGGAAATCGAGCACAAACTATAGTCTCAATATTCTGACATCCTTCCAAACAACTTCCAATAATCTTTTACCATCATATTTTCAGTGCCCGAAACAGGCCTTTTAACGTGTAATCTGACTGGACTCAGAATACGCTTCAGCCCGGTTTCAGGTACAAACCAATATTTATCATGGGCCAAAATAACATGTGACTAAAAATCACAGATACTTGGAACAGGCACACATGGAACCTGTGAACATGTGAAAAGTACTGGTGTGTGGCATCCCTATCACAGACTACATACTATTCCCTTATATGTACATATCACAGATTACAGAGTAACCTCTGTGATCTGTGGTACATATATAAGCCTTGTTCTATGATGTATACGACCTAACCTCGAATCCACCACATTGTTTATATCATAGAACGTTTAATTCCCCCATTTGTAAAGATCATCTTTATGCTTTGGTCAGAGACAAGTCTTGTCTGTCAAGTACTTGTCTCTGCTTTGGTTTCATTCGTTTCGTAGTGTTATTAAGTGGCTCACTAGTGAATGAAACCAGTATAAAAATATTTCCTTTCCTTCAAATGATGTTGAGAACGGCTATATCTTCCTTCAACAGGATTTCGGGTCATAATTCGTTTCTGAACGTAAACTCGTGTTTAAGCGATCAAGTCCGAGTAAGTACCGTTCATGACCCCTCTGAATCCGAACATGATAATAATTGCCTTTCAGACAACGTACATGCTAAAGAGAAAGTTTGCTCCGAAGCTTCATAGAAAGGGTGCCACCCCTAAAAACCTGTTAGCTAAACACTACGTGTACGAACTAATACGGGACACTAATACAGTCAAAAAGCCCGACATTGAAGTCGTGCTAACTGCATTTGTGGATGGTGTGGGAAACCTTGGCGATAAAGTGACTGTGAGACCACTTTTCGGGTACAATAATTTACTTTTGCCTGGGTTAGCAGTTTACGCGACACCGGAAAATATCATCAAGTACAAAAGAGAAACTGACGAGTCCAGCCAAAAAGTTCGGTACAGTTCGTCTAATGCATTATTGGTTAGTACAAGCTAAACATTATTCAGCACTGGTATTTCTGATCTAAAATCTTTTCAGATGATGAAAACCTTATCCCGACACATCCTGTCGGTAGTCATGAATAAGGATCACCCTTGGACAATTCAGCCTTGGCACATAAAAGCTTCATTTCGCAAATCTGGCTTCGTCGTTCCAGAGCATGCAATCACTCTCCCTGAACAACAAATTACCGGACCCGATATGAGTTTAGAGAATAAACAGTTTTATGTTACAGTTACGGTATGCGATCCCTCCTCAATCAATACAACGTCCAACTACTGATTTATTTCGCATTTTCAGATAAATAAATCGGAATCCGTTGACGTACGTTGCCGACTCCACCATTGGAGCACCGAAGTGGTTGAACGACTTCCATATGTAGAAAAATTCTGGGATATTCCGACGGATGTTATTCATCCTGAATTTGCGGATGTGTTACAGCGGATGCAGGGTGAAAAAGAAACTAAAAACGTGGATCATTGTGAATGAAAAGTGCTGCGCTGACAAGTTTTCCGAAATGTTAGGGAAGAGTTCAAAAACAGACCTTATTATTGTTTACAGGAAAATTGACTTGAAAAACGTATAAAATAGTGCGTAAGTAGATGACATGGGTTTTATTGTAGAAACTTCTCTTCCGCAAATAAAACGTTATTCTTGTCGATGTAAAATTATCAATAAGATCAAAATCAAAGTTTAAACCAGATTTTCTTGAGGACAAGGAGACCCAATACAATTGTTTCTGTGTAAACACTAATCTCAAAACCAATATCTGAATGCACGCAAGTTTAATTGTTTTCTCTGGACAAAAGCAACAACGTGTTAATTAATAAAAAGATAATTGAACRCCYTTTAAAACGATGTGCCACTTGACCCCCCTTCCCATTTCAGATACTAAGRGTGACCCCTACCCGTCCTAGGGGGTTGAAACAAGGAGGCTGAAAATATRCATTTAAAGTGTCMYMYTTWYRAWMAAAATTGATAACRTRTCTCCGATTTTTCATATTTTCAACTGCAARAAAGATATTAAGGRTGGGAAGTTTTCAAATTGACACCCTGTATGTTAAAGTTGCGAYGAACTAGTTTTGGTTATCMGAAATTAGRGCTCGGAATCAAACTCGAATAATTCGAGTATTCGAATATTCGAAAAGCGAATAATTATATTATGKGTAGTCATAACTCGAATATTCGAATACACCAACATTATCAAACTCATGTAAGACGTAAGTAAATAACGAAACCAATAAATTCTAAACAACCACCTAAGTGGGCATAGAAGAAGTGCAGATAAAGGTTGACATATACAGTAGCGGTAGGATGAATTTCCCCGTCAGTTTTAAAGGGAAGATTTTTATGTACAAAAGCTGACCCAAATTTCGATCATCCTATTCAAGTACGTCGTTCTACCGCCCAACGAGAACTTTTTCAAATTCGTAGAACTCAGGGCTTGAGCTTATTTCAAGCT